CTTTTAATTATAATATTTTGAAACCTTTTAAAATTTTAAATATGCTCATATAACAATGGTTTTAATATTGGTCATACTAATAATGTTTTGAAATCATTTCCAAAATATTTAACCGAGTGTAGTTGAATATTTATTATATTTATTATAGGTGGTGGCTGCTTTGTAGCGCGGGTCCGAACATACTCATTGCAGTGTTCATATTCCTGATCAATCGGAATGTCTTTGGGTAATAATCTATAACTTGTCTCAATTTTAATTAATCCGTTTACCTAATTTGAGTACCATTCATAATTAACTATGGTGTTATGGTGGTTGTTTGTTGAATCAATAGATTATATGCTTTCAGCTTTTTGTTTTTTTTTGACTAATTGAAAAATTGGATTAAGGTTTCATACGTTAACCGATACCTTAAGCAGAATAATATATGTGAAGATAACAATAATAACAGTTAGCATGACCATTACATCGACTGTTAGATATTGTACTGTTGTGCAATCAATTATTGTGTAAATCTATTTTTTATTATGTTTTCTATTTACCTTCAAGATACATGTTCGCCCTTCTAACAACCGTATAAACTATTGACGACGTTGGATTTTCAAGTTCATCAAAAAGGTTAGTCTCTGGACATTATGAAATTGTTCAAATGAAAAAGGTGTATTGTTAGACAATACTTTTGATGATAATTATTAGAAACATGAAATTTCGCTTGCAAACATGGAAATAAGAAATAACAATAGAGATAATGAGTTTGATGTGTAACTTAAAAAAATGAAAACATCTCAATCTTCCAATGAGAAAACGGAAAAGCAGTTTTAAACTCATACTGTAAATCTGTTATGGTAGTATTAGTAGCCATTTTTCAATCGTAAAAAGAGTAGACAAAGAAGATGGTCGAATGTGTGGCAATTAAACAATGTCGACTAAGAATCTTTATATAGGCAAACAATTAGAAGCGTATAATATTAGGGCATATTCTTTCAATAAATATAGTTAGTAAGTGTGTAATATTTTCTTAACAAATATTCGATATGTTAAAGTATAATTAAGGATTGAGAAAACTTTATTTTCTTTTTGAAAATATATTTTCCGAGATTGCATTCTTACCCATTTAATTGTGATATCGTTATAAATAAAAATTTCTAATATGCAGGAACAATACATTAATGCTGAGGTTTTCGAATATTGTTTATTTTTTAAAGAAAACGATTATTTTACCAATGGGTAAGATCCGAAACTTTGTAAAACCCGATTTGTTGAGATCCAATTGCAAGATTTCGGGTAATATTTTTTAATGACCCGACCCGGAAATACAAATTGTACTCCTCTTTTACTAATATAGAGATATATTAAATTTTGACTCTATCATATACTTTAAAGTATTTTAGTTCCATGTTTATTGGGTTAAAGTGTAAATAATTTATTTGGCTTTTATTTTCTCTCTTAAATTCAGTTAGTTTTATTAAATTTTGATAAGTTATTTAAAATTTGATGCATTATTTTTATAGTAGACCTTTAAATATAGTTTTTGAAAAACTATTATGAACTTAAAAATTGATTTTTTTTATCGGTAAGTAAATCCCAAAAAACCCCGAAAAGCCCTGTAACCCTGTTAGGGCCGGGCCGAACGTTGAAATATAGGTTCGGAAATTTTTCGGACCGAACCGGATCAAACTCACATATATAAGGGCTTTACGGGTTTCGGGCCGGATTAGCCCGATTGACATGCCTAGGTACAACTACAAACTTCTGTTAATATTATTTACTGCCTAAAGTTATTTACCTAAATGACCCTTACATTTAACCCACAGATACAAGTCATTGCCGTTAACGTCGCTTCTAACGGCAAACGTGAAAAACAATCTATTCCGAAGCATCGTCATTTTTCTTCGTTATCTTTCCGTTTCGTCTGTTAGATTCTGTTTCCGTAACAATGGCTTCTTCGTCTCCGGAGACCAGAATCGCCGACGATCACCTCGCCCTTGAGCTTACCGTCCGCGATCTAGATTCTCCTGTATTAGACGCCGCCGCCTCCACCACCACCGTATCATCTTCCGACGAAATCATCCCTCTCCTGAATCAAAACCAAAGACCTAGAATCAACATCTTCTCCGCCTCATACACTCGACGCAAACCAAGAGTAAGTGCGAATCCTCTAGCTTTTGAATTGTTCTTTAGCTGATGATTCAACTCGAAATTGATTCGATCAGTTTGCGAGTGGCTTCAATTTCTACTAATCATGTTGTTGGATTTTAGATTTAGGTAATTGACAAGAACTAGGATCAGATTTTAGTATGAATTTGTTGGTTTTGATTTGGAATTGTGATGTGTGTAGGAGCAAGTGATTAAAGTGACTGAATCTGAGATATCACCTGTAACTCAATTTGCTTCATGGGTTTGGAGTGGGTCTCGTTACTCTGGTTTACTGTGTATGGCCTTTTCATCGGTACTGTATCTCATCATGGAGATAGTTTCAGATACTTTTTCTGGTCAGTACTTACTTTGGCTCTCTTATTGTATCTTGTGATCTCGTCCTTGTGGTTCAGTTTCATGGTTTTGTGTAAGATCATAAGTAGCTTTTATGAGAAGAATAGAAAATGTTGAAATTTATCTGCATCTTGTCCTTTGATCACATGGTGGGAGAATCTCTACTGGACCTGTTTAATAGCTTGTCTTTTCTAGTTGTAATGGAATCTTTGCGTAGATGAGTGCAAGTGTTTACGTCAATATGTGTCTTCCTTCAGCATTTTAGTGTTGCTTTGAGCTGGCATGTGTATATTGATAGTTTTTTTTTTTCTTTCTAATGTCCTTTGTTTATGACAGTTCAGCCAATTCCTTTGTTTGAGACCGCGTTCATGAGATGCACAATTATCTTGATACTATCGTACTTTTGGTTGAGAAGAACTGGACAACCAGTTTTTGGACCTGTGCATGCCAGGAAGCTTTTGGTTTCAAGAGCTCTTGTGGGTTACCTTTCATTGTTTAGTTTCATCTTTAGGTAATTACACCTCCGTACTCTGCTCCGTTTGTAGACCTGAACAGCCTGTTAAATTTATATTGAAAACTAATGCATCATTTGAAATGAAGTTGCTATTAGCAACAGTGTCCAAACCCCACTAATCGATTTTTCATTGGTAGCAGAGTAAGACTTCTAACACTTTTTTTAATATGGTCAACCACAGCATCCAAATGTTGCCCTTGTCCCAAGCTATAGTACTAAGCTTCTTGAATCCAGTTATGGCTTCCATTGCAGTACGTGTTGTTCTGCATGAGAAGTTGAAAATATCTGATATTGGAGGTGCAGAGCTTTTTCCCTTAGCTTTTAGCTCCTGAAATGCATTGTGAACGGACAACATAGCAAGTCCATTTTATGACTTCTCTTTGTTTTTGTTTTGGTCCAGGTCTTGCTTGCAGTTTCTTTGGTGTGCTTTTTATTTTTGGCCCAGCACTTAGTGTTCAAGGTACAGAAGTGAGTTAACAAAATAGTTCTCTATTTATTATTTATATAAAATTGCTCTCGGCTCTCCTTTATGCATGAGGAAAGGAAGACGTCATGCTAATTTCACTTCGTCTTTCTTGGCAGTTGGATCAGAAGGAAGGAATGAAAATCTGAAAGGAAACCATCATATTTATGCGTTCTTGTTGGGTTTATTTTCATCAATCACTGGAGGAATCACTTATTGTCTCATAAAGGCAGCTGCTAAAGCATCGGAACAGCCAGTGTGAGATTTAAGACTCAGATGTGTCATTAACAACATGTTTTGCTTCTGTAACGAAAATATTGAAGTTAGGAAGAAATCAGTAAATGGTGTGTATTTTTTCAGGCTTACCGTCCTCTCATTTGGTTTGGTAGCTTGCCCCGCTGCAGCCATTTGCATGCTTTCCTTCGAGGTATGTTTTGTAAATGTATAATTAGTGGTGGTTGAAACAGAATACAATCAATACATGATAAAGTTGTAGGAAACCAAGAAATGCATCAACTGATCTGTTTGTTGACCATTACTCAAAAACTCATGAATTTTCTCATACAGAACTTTGTGCTACCAGCGTTTGAGACACTCATTAGCATGATTATACTAGGGTTACTGGCATTTTGTGCAGAGGTGAGGCATTCAACCACATTCTGTTTATGAACAGTTTTGATGTTTTGTAGGCAATTCAAGTAATTAGATTACTGAGTAAGCTTTCTATTGTGTTTTTAAGGTACTTTTGGCACGTGGGCTTCAGCTTGAGAGAATCAGCAAAGCTGCAAACATATTGTACATTGAGGTATACTTCCACTTCCATGGAAATAGTTTCAGGGTTTAAATAAGTACCTCTAGTCTGGTTTTCAGTTTGGGTTTTTCTTTTTCGATTTTTGAAACATAAGTTGAATAGTGAATATCATTCGGTTTCGTTTTATTTGGTGGTGTCAGTATAAATCCGATAGTAGTGAACTTTTTCTTTCGAAGTTTAATCGGTTTATACATTTCGTTCGATTCGAATATGAAGTGAAATCGATTAATATCTATATGGTTCCCTTGTTTTGAAAGACTTTGTCCTTGATGTGTTTCTCGTATTAGGTGGTGTTATCGCAGTTATGGATAGTAAGCACGGGAAAAGCACAATCATCGAGTTTGTTTAGCCGGCTTCTCGGGTGTTTGCTCATTCTCGTTTCAGTGAGCTACACGGTTTACTTGGGACCTGCTAAAGATAATGAGTAACCCAATAGGCACATAGTAGCACTCTTCAATTCTTTAAAATTTGGATTTTTATAATTTTTGTTAAGCTTCTTGTTTGGTGTGCAATGTAAACCACCAGGCACCAACACCTCCCTAGTTCCCACATTTTTTGAGTATCAAATTTCATTGATTTTTGTTTTGCCAAATCCAGTATTAATGGTAAAGAAATAATAACTAGAAGCCATACAGTAAAAGACTAAACTATAGTATTGATTTCAATTAAAGACATTGGTTTTGTCTTTTACCTAATCAAAACCAATGTTTTGTCTAACGTAAGTAAGACAAGACAAGAAAACACTTTGGTCGTTTGTTTTGTTGATTAGTTTTGGAGAAAAATTGTCATCGATCATGAAAGTCTATTAATTTATAAAGATTTTAATTTATTGATAAATTAATTTATAGAGAGATTTTTCTAATTTAGAAAGTTTTTTCAAAAAAATATTTAAAACTAAATTCTAACATAAACTAATGTGTCTATTTCAGGCAACATGAGAATCCCAGAACCAGGAAAGTAAGAATGGGAGGTTTTCATATATACATATAATTTGTAAATTTTACCTAATTATTAGTTTATAATATTGATGGGATTATATATTTACAAAGGATTTTCAAAAAATTTATTATCTTATTATTTTATCGAAATGTATCTAAAATTACACTAGTTCCCACTTAGGACTGGAAAAAATTATTAATTTATCGAATATTAATTTATAGAGGTTATATTGTATATCTCTAACTTCAATATTAGCTACATAAATAAATAAACTAAACCCCATTAAGTTTTCTTTATAGTTGTTACTTAAAAACACTTTTATAACCAAGAGAATCGAATTTTATGATATCATTATTAATCTATCTCGAGTTTTACATGTGGCTAAGATTCCATATGGTAGTTGTACGAAAAAAAAGAATTGAATTAAAACTTAGTTGTATAGTGGTTTCCAATATAAAAGATGGGAAGCATCTATTCCCCTCTAAAAGACAACATTTGTCCGAATCTTCTCAATGCAAAAAAAGGACCGACGAGCTGGTAGACAAAAGTTGTTCTTCTTCTATCCTTAATACTATTTATATGTATATGATTAACTATACATATTAATTATTTCTATTTATAAATAAGGCTGATATAAAAGTTTTAAAGAAAGAAAACTGATATTTGAATGTGACATGTTTAAAAACTTTTCGTCTATTTTATCTTCGATTATTCTCTGTGTAATCGCTAGGTCCATTATATATGTTTTGATTATATGACTAATCCCCGTCTAACTCTTTTATCGGTTATTAAACATTTAGGTTGAGAATTTTATGATATTTTACAATAATTTATGTTGAAAGTTTTATGAAAATCATAAATTTGGCTTTAAAAATATGTTTTCATTTATTAACTATAATTTTAAAACCAATACTCCCTCTGTTTCATTATAAGTGATGTTTTAGCCAAAAAAATTTTGTTTCAGTATAAGTGATGTTTTCAATTTCCTATGCAAAAACTTAATGTATTTAATATTTTTTGACCAATTATATTTTACATCATATTTTCTTATTGGTTGAATTCATATTAGTTAATGATGTTGTTATGGAAAATTGGTAAGTTATATGTTTTATTATTTAGTGTGCCAAAACCTTAAACATCACTTATAATGAAACAGAGGGAGTATTATACTCTTGTATATATGTTATATTGTGTTTTTCCATAAACAGAAATCGAACTATACATATAATTAATACCATATATTTATTATATTTTTAATTTATTTTATTAAATAATCCTAAAACTAGTTTCCGATTAATCATCGTTTATCCCCGCTAGACGCTAGGTCCAATTCGACCGCCCGACTAGCACCTAACGATTTCTTAACTAAGGACCCTAACTATGTATTAATATATTGTTCTTCCCACTTCTTCACGTTAAATTTGTTTAATTAATGTGTATGACAGTATGATTATACTTTTTCTTATGTATGTTTCACATGCATGATTTTAATTCGTTTTTAAAATGATGTTTAAAATGTATAACACGAGGGGAAATGGTATGTTATTGTTGACGTGAGAGATATTAAGTTATATTTACATAATTTGTTGAGTTTAAACAACCCATTTAGTGTGTGGTGTTTCAAATGCCACGCATAATTATAGTTAAAACGAATTGTTTCAAAATGATTTATTCAACAAACCAAACGATGTTATTTATTCATGAGATTTTTCTCAACACGAGGTGGTTTATTCAACACGAAGTGACTCATGCATGTACTTATGAAGCTATTGTACATTTGTAAACGATTGTGAAAAAGAGATACGACATTGCATGTTGGAGTTACAACATAGCCTGGAAAGTATTGTTTGTGTGTGTACGTAAGTACCTAGCTACGTAACGTAATGATTCTCTTTTATAGTTTGTTCTCTTCTTCTAATATGATAAAACACTTGAACCGAAGTAGTCCAAGTGTGTCCAAATTAATGACACAACATGCATGTATTGTTTACACGAAAACGAGCTAAACCTTGAACTATATACAGTAAAACCTCTATAGATTAATATTTTATAAATTAATAAACACTATAAATTAATAAATTTTGCTGGTCCCAAGTCGGGCCGGTATAAAATTTGACCAAATTCGATAAGATAATAAAATAATACTTTTTTTGAAATTCCCATGTAAAATATAGTCCCAATAATATCATAAATTAATAATCACTATATATATATATATATATATATATATATATATATATATAGTATATATATATATATT